GCCTTCGAAAGATTAGAATCACCACAGCCCTTCTATACTTAGAGAAAGGAGATGTCAGGGACAGCCCTGCTTATACACTGAAGGCCTAAAATCAGCCATAGGCCTAAAATCAGCAATAGGCCTGTCATACAGGTATGCTAACACCAAGTCTTGTGGGGAAAATTTAAGAAGGCCGCCACAGCGGCGCAAGCCCCGGAGGGGCTTCTGCCACCGTGGCGGGTTCCACATTAGGGAGGGGACCCTATGGTTCCAGCGGCCTGAGGGCCTTGACAGCGGCAGGCCCCAGTAACACGAGGAAGTCCTTGGTTCCAAAAAGGTTTATTGTCATGGCGGATAATAGATGGGTCTAGGTGTACCCCCCCAAAAACTCAGGGCAGTCCCGAGTTATATAGGGAGGGAGAAAGGGGAAGGATTGGGGGAGGATCTGGGGGAGGCATGTTTAATTTGCTCTGCCCTCTGGCCTTCATTAGTATGTAAATCCCTAGGGCCTGAGGCCTATAGCCCGGTCTATGTGACTCTATAGAGACCTTGACTGCTTTTCAGGATCCTGGATGATGGGGGGGACCGAACTCCTGCCGGTTCTCGCGCAGAATTCCATGCAGAATCTCGGGGTTCTAGGCACCTGCTCAACCATGACCCAGGATACCCTTACGCAGTCCCACAAAGTCTTGGGTCTCTGTGGAAAAACATTGAAACAGAGGGCTATAAGCTATTGTAAACAGGCAGCTTTTGTGGAAATTTACTAGCCCGAGTAGTCATAGACCTTGGAAATAGGTAGCCTTGGCAGACAATACCAACTTAGATAAAGACAAGTTAATCATAGGCAGAGCCATAGTGACCTGTCCCCTGAACCTTCACCCAGCCGATACCCTGTTCTGAAAGATATCTGTACTCCCCCTGAACACCCACACTCCGATGTCATCCCCTTCCCCACTTTCTGCCTTTTTGTGTTTATAACCCCTGTGTGAATAAGTAAAAATTATGATTTGATTTAAAAAAAGGTGGATAGTGCTTGAGGAATGGCACCTTGGTTTGCCCTTTGACTGCCCCATGTATGTGCACATATGAATCTGCACACACTTCTGCAAACACACATGAAGACACATATGTATGTGTGTAAATTTACTTTAAATTTTATTTTGTGTTTCTCTTCTTAAATTTTTTATTTATTTACATATTTGTGTATTAGGAGATATCATGTGTATGGGGGGGGTCAGGGGACAATTTTATTTTGGTGTGTTTGATTTGGTTTTTTAAGACACAGTTTCTCTGTGCAGCTCTGGCTGTCCTAGAACTCTTTCTGTAGACCTGCTGGCCTTGAACTCACACAGATCCACCTGCCTCTGCCTCCTGAGTGCTGAGATTAAAGGCACGCATCATTACCAATTGACCAAAAGACAACTTTTTGGAGTTGGTTCTTTCCTTCCACTATGTGGCTCCCGGGGACTGAATTCAGGTCATCAAGCTTGGCAGCAAGTGTCTGTACCTGCTGAACCAAACCATTGGCCTATATTTCTCTTTTTGAACATTAAAAAAAATTATATATCTTGTAAATGGGGAGGTGCCTCAGTGGTTAAGAGCACTGAGTGATCTTCCAGAGGACCCAGGTTCAATTTACAGCACCCACATGGTGGCTCACAACCATCTGTAACTCTAGCTCCAGGGGATCCAATGGCCTCTTTTGGCTTCTCCAGACACCAGGCATGTGAGTGGTACACAGACAAACATGTAGATGAAACATCTGTGCATCTATACAGATAAAATCAATTTGTATAAGATGCATTTATTGCTGTTGTTTTTATATGAGGGTTACCTGCATGTATGTCTATACCACATGCAAGCAAAGTCCCTGGAGGCCAAAGAAGGGATTTGGATTCTCTAGAACTGGAGTCACAGGTGGCTGGGAGCTGCCATGTGGGACTGGCAACAGAGTATCTGCAAGAGCAGGCATGCTCTTAACTGCTGAGCCACCTTTCTATCCCCTAGTCTTGAACATCTTTATTTTAACTTTTCTCCTCTTCCTCCTCCTCTTCCTCTTCCTCCTCCTCTTTCTTCTTCTTCCTCTTCTTCCTTCTTCCTCTTCCTCCTCTTCCTCTCCTCCTCCTCCTCCTCCTTCTTCTTCTTCCTCCTTCCTCCTCCTCCTCTTCCTCTCCTCCTCCTCCTCCTCCTTTTCTTCTTCCTCCCTCTCTCTCTCTCTCTCTCTCTCTCTCTCTCTCTCTCTCTCTTTCTCTTTCATAGGGTCTGGCTGTATAATCAAGGTAGGCAAGTCACTTTGAACTTGTGACTTTCCCATCTCAGGATCTGAGTGTTGGGATTACATCATGCGCTCGCCGTTACCCTACACTCACTAACTCTAATGTTTAGACCACCTGTGAGTCTGTTGCTATTTTTTTACTCTTCCTTTGGTTTTCTGTAATCAGTTCTTGTTTTTGGTATGCCTAATATTTTATTCTAACAGCTTTATTGAGAGATAATTGACATTTGCCAAATTGAAAATATCTTAAATATACAATTTGATGATGTTTACTATCATCATAATTGTGATGGCTTGTATATGCTTGGCCCAGGGAGTAGCACTGTTGGGAGGTGTGGCCCTGTTGGAGTAGGTGTATCACTGTGGGTGAGGGCTTTAAGACCCTACTCCTAGCTGCCTGGAAGTCAGTATTCTGCTAGCAGCCTTCAGATGAAGATGTAGAACTCTCAGCTCCTCCTGCTGCACCATGCCTGCCTGGATGCCTCCATGTTTCTGCCTTGATGATAATGGACTGAACCTCTGAACCTGTAAGTCAGCCCCAATTAAATGTTATCCTTATAAGAGTTGCCTTGGTCAAAATGTCTGTTCACAGCAGTAAAACCCTAACTAACACAGTAATCTAAGTGGGGACTATATCCAATCAAGATGGAGATCGAATCCAGTCAAGATGGAGACTGTATCCATTATGCCCTGAAGTTTCCTTATGTCTTATGCTGATCCATCCATTTCCTCTCCCATCATTCCTAGGCAACCACTGAATTATCATGATAGTAAACTGAAATAAATCACCTAGTACCACTTATCTTTTGGGTCCTTTCACTCAGCATTATTTGGGAAGTTACTTATGTAGCTGTATGTATCGATAGCTTGTTTTTATTGCTGATTAGCACTCTACCATGATTTTGCTTTTGCTGGAAATGTGAGTACTTCCAGTTTAGAACTATTTTTAAGAGATTCACTATGATATTCTCATACAAGTCTATTTGTAGAATTGTGTCTTCATGTCTCTTGTACAAATGCTTGGGTGAGGAATGGGTAGATCATATGGTAGGTACCTGTTATTGTTTGACCCTAAAATGTTCTCAGAAGTATCATAGGGTAAAGCCTTCATGCCAGCTGATGGGCTTTGGGGACATAATTGGATAATAAGGGCTCTGACATCATCAGGGGATTAAGCCGTTTATGACATCATACTTGAATGAACTGTTCAAGGTAGGGCCTACTTGGAGGACGTAGGTCACTGGGGAACATGACTTTGAAGGGTGTATCTTGTATCCCTGGTCCCTTCCTCTCTGTCTCTGCTTCCTGGCTGTCATGAGGTGAGCTCTTTTCCTTCACCATGCCCTCACCTCACTACACATGTAAGAGCAACAGAGCCTCTTCACCATGTTTAAGTCTCCGAAACCGGGAGCCAGGAGAACCTTGCCTCCTCTTGAGTTGTGTTGGGCACTTTGTCCCAGTGAGGCAGGTGTCTTACAGAGTACACATTTCACTTTTCATAATTAACAGGCTCCTCTGGAGGCATCTCTTGGGGGTGATTAGTTAACCTGAGATGGACCCTGTGTCTTTATATCTTGTTTGTTTTCATTTTAACTTGTCCCCCCAGGGCTAGAGACTGAACCCAGAGCCTCACACATGCTACATAAGTGGCCCTACTGCCCAACTAATATATATATATATATATATATATATATATATATATATAT